TGTTATTCGTGCTTTTGGAGTCCCTGACCCTCTGCTCACGATCATTAAGGACCTTCATGATGGTGAGCGGGCCCGGGTAAAACTACGTGGCCGGGAGTCGGAGCCATTCCCTCCACACCTTGGGGTGCGACAGGGATGTCCTCTGGCTCCCACATTATTTAACATCTATTTTAACCACGTAGTTCGTGAAGCCTTCAATAGCTGTACCGGGGGAATCTCCATTTGGTACAGATATAATGGGAGGCTGATCGATGCCCGGGTGCGGTCAAGGGATGGCTCCCTATTGCTCAACCACGTTATGTATGCCGATGATTTGGTAATAGCTGCTCATTCAGATGAGGAGTTGGAGACGCTGCTGCTGAGACTGGAGCGTGCCACTAAGAGATGGGGCCTTACCATCAGCCCCACCAAAACTAAGCACCTGCCTGGGTATTTGTACCATCGGACACTCCACCCCCACAACTCCCAATCGGTGATGGGGCAGTTGTGGAGAGAGTGAAGAGTTTCCCATACCTGGGCAGTGTGCTTATGACCGGCTCCAGTTTAACAGCAGAGGTCTCACCCGAATCAGTTGAGCGGCAATATCTTTTCATCGGTTGTGTAACGCTGTATGGAAGCTGCCTGGTCTGTCGTTCCGCACTAAGCTTCAGGTCTTCTCGGCCACGGTCATTCCCTCCCTTCTCTACGCTTGCGAAACGTGGAACTCCTTAATGGAGCATCTTCGCCGGTTGGAAACATTTAGGCTGGCCTGCCTACGATCCATCCTGGGTTTAACCAGGCTGGATTGTGTGAGGAGCTCACAAATCCTAGAAAGATCTGGGCAAGGTCCCATCGGTGAGCTCCTCGGACAGGCAAGGCTGCGTTGGCTGGGTCATGTAGCCCGCATGCCCAGCCACCGCATGCCGAAACAGCTTTTTTTCGGCCGAATCGAGAGGGCTAAACGGGCGCGGCACGGGCTAGAGAAGAGATGGATTGATGTGGTACAGGAGGATGTGGAGCTGAGTGGACTTGTCGATGACTGATACCAGTGGTGTCAAGATCGGCCTCTGTGGAGGAGACTCGTGAAGGATGCTACTGGGCAGTTGGAGGCAGTCGCCCTCCAACAACAACGGAGGGCGGAGGAGCGACGCTCACAACAACGAGCGGAGCGCCGGGTGGCTAAAGCACAGCAGGTTGGCACAGTAGGGGGCACAGGTGGTGCACCAGCCAGTCATCTCAGTCAGTCGACCCGTGGCACCTGGGTCTGCCCCGTGACCTCCTGCCCGCGGGCGTTCGACACTTCACGTGGCCTCAAGGTGCACATGGCCTGGCACAAGCGTCGTGGTGACGTCACCGCCACTTAGTGGCGAATGGCGGTTGTTGTTGTTGTTGTGAGAGTGTGTGAGAGTGTGAGTGAGTAAGAGTGAGTGATAGAATGAGTGAGAGTGTGTGAGAGTGTGAGAGAAAGAGTGTGTGAGAGTGTGAGAGAAAGAGTGTGAGAGTGAGTGTGAGAGAGTGAGTGAGAGAGTTTGAGAGAGAGTTTGAGAGAGAGTGTGAGAGAGTGTGATAGTGTGAGAGTGAGAGGAGTGAGTGTGAGAGTGGAGTGTGAGTGGAGTGAGAGTGAGTGATAGAGTGAGAAAGTAAGAGAGTGTGAGAGTGTGATAGAGTGAGAGTGTGTGTGAGAGTGAGTGAGTGGAGTGTGAGTGTGAGAGTGTGAAAGTTTGAGTGTGAGAGAGTGAGAATGATAGAGTGAGAGAGTGTGAGTGGAGTGTGAGAGTGTGAAAGTGTGAGGGTTTGAGTGAGAGTGTGAGAGAGTGAGAGACTTTTGACTTTTAAATGACTTTTATTGCCGCCAGCAGCAAAAGCACTGGAGGCGATTTCGATATGAAACACACAAAGTCACCAGCAAACAAATGAAAATAAACGTTACAAATCCATGCGCTGTGGCGCTAAAATGCATTGCGCACAACACGAAAGAAAAGTCACGTGGTTGTGGTGGTCATTCGCGCACGCCACGGTGACGAGCGAGCACTTCAGAAGGTGAACATGAGGATGCCATCCACGCTGGTACAGAGGGCTTTTCCGGCTCCCCAGCGTTCGAAGAAGACGTGCACATCACCGACATGTGTGTGGTATGCGTGCTGCAGGCGGAGCCACACCTTAAGCAGGCCTCTGAACACTGGAAGCACGGAGCAGCCGTCAGTGTCACCTTCCAGCGTCTTTTTCTTCGTTCTGTACACCGCCATCTTCGCCTGAGCTTCCGTTAATTTTTAAATGAGGGGTGGCGCAGTGGTTTGCGCACCTCTCTGTGAACCGGGTGACTTGATTTTGACTCCCGGCCACGGCGAAAGTGAGGCGCGAGCGACTTCCAGACCGGTTCTGTGCCTCCAACCGCACTCCTCCACTTCACTGGTACGCACAAACCAGGGCGGTGACGATCGGTCAAACGAAGGCCGTGACCGACACGGCGTGGGGAGTCGTTCATCCATCAGTGGATCAACAATGAGGCTGCACACCGCTTAAACGAGTAAATGGCCGTGCATTTACAATCCTCGTCTCGTGTCACCGGGGACTGGGAAACCTGGAGTGAACTTGGTTTCTGGATTTGAAGTGTTCGTGACTGCAAGAACCAAAGAGTATGGACTTGGTTTCCCTACGAAGCCGGAGCTAGCAGCCACACCTAGGGTCACGCCACACTTCCTGCCCACATAACCGCGAATATTATTTCATTATTTTATAGGGTTTTTTGTGTTGATTGTTTGCTCAGGCGTGAGACGGAAGGTGAGGTAGGGAGAGAGCTGGCCATTGACTGCCTTAACAGAGGCTTCGAGAAATATGTAGATTGCTCTTTAAAAAAGTAACACGAAACTTTGCCAGTGAACCCGCCAGACGGCACGGCGATCGGAGGTCATGAAGGTCGGAGCTCATGGCTCGTAATTGGAAGCTCGCGAGTTGGAATCCCAGCTGTGTGGATCGGCTCAGCCCGTCGCCTCCAGGGCAGGGAAAGTGAATACCGCTTGGGTTGGGAGATATAAATTCTTGTCCTGCGGCCAGGACAGCACGGCCGCTGCATCATCGAGAAACACGGGGCCTGCAGTCCCAGAGAGCGTTGAGTTTAAATAAACAAACACTCGTGCTGCTACATACCAAATTAACGTTGGGATAACCAAAGAGATGTTTAAATCCTGGGTGCCCAAGTGTAGCGGGCTGACTGCAGAAAAAGAAATAAATTTGCAGTAAAATGGGTTTTCCACTTGGAACAATTCCACGTGATAATAAAAAAAATATCGGTTTGACCATCATGTGACAAACATTGCTCTCTGTGGCAGAGCGAGTGAAGAGGTGCTGCCTCATACAATGGATGTCATTCGAAGGTGGTCTCAGGGGTAGCTCTGTGATATCCGCTTCCGTGGGCCGTTCTATAACACGCAGGGCCGCGCTGCTCTGCAAGATCTCCAAACGATTGTTCATCTCGTGACGCCGATAGTGGCGCTATCGCGATTCAAATTGTGGGAAATATGACAAGGAGTTCCGACGAGCCCCGCGGGATCTCCCAGTTGCCACTCATCAGTGCAGTACAACTTTTATTGAGAGACTGCGCGGAGGACGCCCTGGCCAACGGCTCCGTGTGGACGAGCAGCCCGAGAGAGGCTTGTGCTGTAATTTTAATTAACGAGTTGTAATTGCCTCCCAACGACACTCGCCGTCACAAAAACACGACCAGGCCCGGGATATTAATGCAGCCGTTTAAACCCAGCAGTGCGGGGCCGCGGTGAAGTCACTAGCGCACTTTCGGAGATGGAACCAGTACAGTCATCTCCCCCTCTCTCTCATTCTCCACTCTCCTCCTGTCTCTCCTCTTTCCTGTCTCTCCCCCCTTTCTTGATTTCCTCTCCCTTCCCATATATCCACTCTCCGGTCTCTTCTCTCTTCCTTCGGTCCACTTTCCCGTCTCATCTGCATGATCCTTCACGTGTCGGTTTCACGTCAACATTGTTGGGGTTTAGGATCTGGCCAGGGGTCAGTGTCAGCTGAGTCTGTCCGGGTCAGTGACCCGGATAATGTTGGTGCATCTAGCGCACCACATCCAGTATATCCTGCACTATAGCTGTGGCTACTGGTCGCTTGCCACCTACCATGACGAGTCGACCGATCAAATTTCTCGTTTTCAAAATGTGAGGTGGGTGATGAAGCCCCGGTTGTGGCTGAATGTTTGTGGAGCCGAGCAGGATGTGAATGGTGTCCAAGTATTTACACAACGGCAATAAAAAGCAGTTCCCATCCCCCCTTTCACCCGATCGTGTTTTCATTGCAACGTGACTTCCTGTCAAACGTGCACGAATCTCGTTCGGGGTCTGCTCAGAACATCATCTCTCCACGGTTGCAAAAAGACTTTGGGAGAAAACCAACAGAGGTAGTGGCATGGGGATACCTTTATGCTGCCTTAGGAATGTGGAATTTCCACCGAGGAATCTGGACCGCTGGAGAAGATGCGTATCACCGGGTGTTTGCGTGACGGGAGAGGTGGTTTTGGTGTTCGCACTCGGACACCGCTCGCTGTACACACTCAAGGTGGTGGGGGAGGGCAGTGATAGTGAGGGTGGGTGGCAGACTTGGGGCAGTCTTGGCCTAACCCCAATAGTGTCGTGGACTTGTGCCCGTGCGCGCACGAGCATTTTACATTTCACCTGGTTCAAAATGGCCGTGGCGCAGTGTTTAACGCACTACACTACAAACCCCGTGACCCGAGTTTGATTCCCACTAACAACCAACATTGGTGAAGAATATCTGAACCGGTTCTGGGCCTCCCCGAGGTCGACTCAGCCTCAAATGAGTATCTGATGCGGTGTGTAAACATTAGCACCGGGGAGATAAATGTGGCCAGGCGAGGTGCCGGGCACGCCACACCCCCTTAAGCTCTACGCCACGTCAGCCTAAATATGTGGTCCAGCAGCACTTGACCCAACAGTCTTGTTAAAGGTTGCATGGTGGATCTTTGTCTTTGTGTGCGACACCTGCAGTGACCCGCGCCTGTGCCAGGCGGTAGCAGCAGCAGCGGTGACGCCGGTGGTGGTGGCGGTGCCGTGCTGCCAGAACCGGCGCCAGCAGCCATGGGGTGCGGCCTGCGCAAGCTGGAGGACGTGGACGAGGGCAGCCCCGGCAAGATCTTCTCCACGCTGAACCGGCAGCAGGTGGAGGCGCGCGTCAGCCCGGCGTACGAGTGCCTCCCCCTCGACTTCACCACCGCCCGCTCAGGTACCCCGCTCGGCCCCCCACGCGTGTTTCGGTGCCGGCACTCGGCCCCCCGCGGGTACTCGCTGGGCCACACGCGAGCATCCCGGTCTCAACGGACGGCGCCGTTGCTCGGGAATCTTGCTTGAGGCGTCGAGTGGGGTCACAGGGCCAGGTTCACGGGGTCAGGTTCACGGGGTCACGGGGTCAGCGATGGGACTGCTGCGGCATGCGTGGTTCCGCTTCTATTGCGGAATCTGCCTTCTCATGAGGGAGCACCGCGCGCCCCGCCACGAGAAACGGCGATTACTGGACGTTAATTAAAGTAGATGGGGCCCTGCGGGAGGCGCCGGGAACACGTGAATATAAAAACGTAACGGGTGCGGAGACGGGGCAGAGACGGCGCGAAGCACAGAGACTTTGCCGTGACGGCCTGTCTGTGACGTTTTGTCGCGCTTGCGGGTCTACGTCGACTTCCATAGTGAGCTGTCAGCTGGAGCGAGCGACATTCACCAGTCATAGAGATCCGCTTGTGAAGGCGTTTACGACCGTTCACGCTATCGGGTGCTCGTGAACGTCAGTCGGTGATCACCGGGAATGCGCCCGATCTCATCAGACACTGGAAGCTAAGCAGGGCTTAGCCTGTAGATTCCAGCACTCAAAAGTATGACTGCCGTGTCAGCGAGTGGGGACACTTGTTATCGTGCACGCTTATTGTGAGTCCAGTCCGTCAAGGATGCGCCACGCTCATCGCATTTGGTTAGCTCTTAGGAAGAACAACAACGCTGCTGCTGCTGCTGCTTCAAGGCTGTTGTGAAGCTGACTCCGACTCGAGGATGGGTCCCGAGGCCCTGCCACCGGTCACTGCGTCCACGTGTTTGGGCCGGAGACCCCGGTGAAATTGTGCTGTCCGTGTCGGTGCACAAGACTTACGATGTGCGGGGAAGCAGAGGGCGGTGCAGCAAAGCGTGTTGTTTAACTGCACTTCTACGCTCCCACATCTATGCTCCCCTCCTTTACGAACCCACACTCACGAGCGTAGCGAAGTATCGTCAAAACCCCCACGGCTTGGGGAGGCCCTCATCCAGCAGTGGAGTGCTCATGACAGTCAACGTACACAACTCGTTCCGCGTTCCTATAGAGCATTCTGGGTATAACTCCTCAGCCAACCGTCCACATCGCCTTTGGTCAACTCTGCGTGCCCTTCGCAACCGAGAGGCGACTCGGCGCCATCGCCCAGCCGATTCTTCGCTCGCCGTTAAGTTCGATCGCTTGTCAAGGAGGCGGCGTCACCCGCTCGCCTCCACCCGCTCGCCTCCACCCGCTCGCCTCCACCCGCTCGCCTCCACCCGCTCGCCTCCACCCGCTCGCCTCCACCCGCTCGCCTCCACCCGCTCGCCTCCACCCGCTCGCCTCCACCCGCTCGCCTCCACCCGCTCGCCTCCACCCGCTCGCCTCCACCCGCTCGCCTCCACCCGCTCGCCTCCACCTGCACGAAACGTCTTTCGGCCTGTCATGGCCAACCCCGGCCATTCCTTCTTCCGCCCCTCATTCTACCCTCCCCTCCCTCCCACCGGTTACACCCCAAGAGGCCCTCAACCCTAAACTCCACGTACAAAACCCCTCAACCCAACCCTAAACTTTACGTACAAAACCCCTCAACCCAACCCTAAACTCCACGTACAAAACCCCTCAACGCAACCCTAAACTCCACGTACAAAACCTCCCCCCCCAGGTCTACTGCCGGCCAGCGTCTCCAAGCATCGCGCTGTAGAACTTGTAGAACTTGTAGAACTTGTAGAACTTACGATCGTGGTTCCTCGCGCTGCCTTTGTCCATTCCGGTCCTTTCCCTCTGTCACTTAAACCGGGCCGGGTGCCTCCTCCGCTAAACACAGCTAGCTGAGGACCCCGCAAACTACCGGCCCGTCACCACCTCGTCAACCGTCTCCACACTCCTGGAGCGCCTCATCCAAGATCACCCTCCCCCATCTTTCCCCCACTTGAGTCCACCCTCCGTCCAGCCCACTCCGCCAAGACTGCACCCTATGGATGGCCGCCGACGTCTCGAGGCATCGTCGCTCCAGTAAACTGTAAACTCTCGCACCTATGCCGACGACGCTCATTTACGCTCCACTCTCACCTCCGCTCGGGGCCACTCGCCCTCACTTATTGAACCTCAGCCTGACGGAAACCGGTTTGGAGTCCCTTTGGAGCAGTTTCAAACCATTTGGGTTTCCTCAGTCCTACGAGTGTGGTACAGATCAGTAAATCCGTGACCAATTCGGAGGCGTTCAGCTATTTGCTCCTCCTCACGGAGTCTTTCAGGATTCAGCAGTGCGTCGCTCGCAGGAATAAGTGAGAGTGTTCTCACGTGAGTGGCAGCAGGAAGCTCGCGCCGGGTTGACCGGGAGGCCGGGCCCCGTCAGCAAAACGCTTGAGGTCAAACAGTCACGGTTTGGGTTTTGTAGACAAAAAAGTAAAAATGAATGCGCGAATGTCGTCAATCTGGCCACAGCAGCAGCCGCATCGGCGGTCCCTGGACGAACGGAAGAATTTGGATTCCTGAGCACAGAGAAGTGAGAGCGGTTTACCATCTTCGGTCACGGCCGGCTGTGTCGGGGCATTCGAAAACAACAACAACATGTGTGTGATGCCGCGTTGGCGGCAGTGATGCCGCGTTGGCGGCAGTGGTGCCCGAGCACAAATAATGCTTACTTAGTCGCCAAGCACACTGCGGCCCTAAAGAGGAAATAACCCATCATAAACAACGTGATATCTCTCTCTCTCTGCTCCTTCTCGTGCACGATAGCAGCCATCGGCAACAACCAACGGCAAATAATTTGGCTTTGTTTTGTAACTTCTACATTTTTGGCAGCGTTTGAGGCAGCGAGGTTGCGGTTTAACGGTCTGTGGCACGTCAGCCCTCCGCTTCGCTCTCTCTCTCTCTCTGATGTGTTCTGGGAGACGTTCATGATGGGCGTTTATGGCCATGGGTCTGCGGAGCGGCGCGGAGTCTCCCTCTCCCACAGGGTCCTGCGGGCCTCACTTCCTGCCCGCAGGGCCACACATATGGCATTGTTTTGTAAACTCTCCCACACTCCCTCGCTCGCTCTCACTCTCGCTCGCCCTCCCTCCCCTCCTGGCCCTCACCACCACCGCCGCTACCGCCAACAGCCAGGGAATGTGCCCAACCCAGCCAAAATGTGTCTCCAATCATGAGCGTTTACTCGCACGGGAGGGAGAGAGAGAGAGGCACCCAGACAATCGACAAAGAGCAAAAGTGCTTTGGGCGTTCGTTTTCTGGGGTGGTTGAGAGAGTGAGAGAGGGGTGCTGGGTGGTTGAGAGAGTGAGAGGGGTGCTGGGTGGTTGAGAGGGGGAGAGGGGGAGAGAGGTGCTGGGTGGTTGAGAGGGGGAGAGGGGGAGAGGGGTGCTGGGTGGTTGAGAGAGTGAGAGGGAGAGGGGTGGCTGGGTGGTTGAGAGAGTGAGAGGGGTGCTGGGTGGTTGAGAGAGTGAGAGGGGGAGAGGGGGTGAGGTGGCTGGGTGGTTAAGAGAGTGAGAGGGAGAGTGAGAGGGGTGGCTGGGTGGTTGAGAGAGAGAGAGAGGGGTGCTGGGTGGTTGAGAGAGTGAGAGTGAGAGGGGTGGCTGGGTGGTTGAGAGAGTGAGAGGGGGAGAGGGTGCTGGGTGGTTGAGAGGGGGAGAGAGGTGCTGGGTGGTTGAGAGGGGGAGAGGGGGAGAGGGGTGCTGGGTGGTTGAGAGAGTGAGAGGGGTGGCTGGGTGGTTGAGAGAGTGAGAGGGGGAGAGGGTGCTGGGTGGTTGAGAGGGGGAGAGAGGTGCTGGGTGGTTGAGAGGGGGAGAGGGGTGCTGGGTGGTTGAGAGAGTGAGAGGGGGAGAGGGTGCTGGGTGGTTGAGAGAGTGAGGGAGGAGAGGGGTGCTGGGTGGTTGAGAGAGTGAGAGGGGGGAGAGGTGGCTGGGTGATTAAGAGAGTGAGGGGGGTACTGGGTGGTTGAGAGGGGGAGAGGGGTGGCTGGGTGATTGAGAGAGTGATAGTGGACACTGTCACATGTATTGGGTTATTATGACCGCTGCAGTCACTAGAGGTCGCTGCACTCACCACAATGTTTTTAAAATCTTTATTCTATCTGCAAGAAGGGTAACTGGCTTAGGACACAACACTACCATCACCAACACCACCACCACCACAATCAATACCACCACCACTGCCATCGCTAACACCACCACCACCACAAACATTATCACCACCACAATCATCAGCACAACCAACACCATAACCAACACCACCACCGCCAACACCACCACCAACACTATCACCACCAACATTATCACCACCACAATCATCAGCACAACCAACACCATAACCAACACCACCACCGCCAACACCACCACCAACACTATCACCACCAACATTATCACCACCACAATCATCAGCACAACCAACACCATAACCAACACCACCACTGCCAACACCACCACCAACACTATCACCACCAACATTATCGCCACCACAATCATCAGCACAACCAACACCATAACCAACACCACCACTGCCAACACCACCACCAACGCTATCACCACCAACATTATCACCACCACAATCATCAGCACAACCAACACCATAACCAACAACAACACCGCCACTGCCGCCGCCAGTGGCAGTGTTTGTGTGTGGGATGGGCTGTGACGGACGGCACAGTAAACCGTGGCGGAGCGGGAGCCGGAATTCAGTTTCATTTATTTGGTAGAGAGCCCTGTGAGCCATTCGGCTCTTGAATCGGGTGCAACCGCAACAAACAAAAAAACAAAAACATGAACAAGAAAACATCTTAAAGTGACTATGTGACTGTGCTAACAGAAAAATCAGGAAAAAACAGCAAAATATTCCTGACAAAGCACCGTACACCAACGCTGTGTGAAAAAATCCTAGTGGGATGCAAGTCAAACAGCAACAACCACAAGACAACTTAGATTAAGGCCATCAGTGCTACAACAAACATGGCCAAACC